GATTGATAAGTACTGGTGATAAAGCTCTGCTCAGTTGAAGTTTGGATCTTGACTGTTAAGCTTTCCCGATAGAATTTAAAACCAATTTGGCCCTTGAAATAAAACTGTGTGTGTGTAAACACACTTTTAAGAAGCACTTTAACATCTACTTAGAGGGAATATTATATCTATCTATTGATTGATTGATGAAGTTTCATCTAAGAAAGTCATTATATGGCATTGCCTTACATGGTCCAGGGAACTAGACTCAATGACACAGGAATCCTTCCCATTCTATTTTCTAATGTTTCTCAAACTGAGTAGATATAGAAACTATTTCCTACTAGGTATCCAATATATGAAAGTCTGATTTGCAAGCTACAGTCTTTATAAATCTCAAACCCTTAGCAGTTGTAAAGGAGGAAAGAGAAATAAACCAAGTGCATGTATTCTAATGTTTACCAGACATTTAAGGCTGTTGAAAAAAAATCAGGAATCATTGGAAATGAGAGAGAAAGGTGCAGCTCATCCTTTGGGATGAAGAAGTAGAAATATATGCAAGCTATTGGCTCACCATGATGAGAAAAAGAATTGGCAGTAAGGAGGACTTCACTCAAAGGGCACTACCATATGTCTTATTCAGAGGGGCTGTATGTATCTATCATTATGGTAGGCTCTCATCAGCATGTTTCCCCTTATGGGCCATGTGTTTTATAGTCATGCAGCTCAGTTCATGCTCAGGATTGGCTGCATTTAGTCAACTTCATCCTTGGTTTCTATTACTGAGAACATGCAGCTTTTAGCAGTGGTTCAGAGATAGGTAATGTATTTAATATGGTTTCTTTGTATGTGAATGTAAGATGGGGGGGGTTTCCCCCCACATTGATTTTGAGGGAAAAAAACCTCATCTTATATTTGACTAAATATGGTAACTAGGTTCCTACTTCTCCCCACCGTCATTTTAGGAGGCTGTTCAATAAGCATCCCATTTTGAAGGATGACAATCATTTATTACTTCCTATCTTCATTTTCCTCATAGTTAATTTATGCTGATTTGTTCTTGTTCCAAAAATATCCTTTTGCTGATACAGTACTTTTCCCCGAGATGTCTTTTACACCTGATGTCTTAATAAACCATATTCATGCTCAGTCATCATTACACTACACTAAGTGAAGTTGTCTTAATCAGTTTTTGTATGATCAACTCTATATTTTCAGTGATCATCCTAGCAGGCATTCTCTGCTCCAGTTACATATTAAATTAATATTTTCTGAACATGGATGGCTAGAAATGTGCGCTGAGATCTTACTGTAACTCTATTCAATGTTTTACTGCTTCCCTACTGTGAGAGGGGAGGCAAAAGCCCCCATGTCCCAGGTCCTCTCCAGACACACCTTGATACTCACCACAGGGATGAAGACAAGTGGCAGCTATGGGGAAATGCTGACACAGGCTTGGCAGTTCCAGAGCTGCCTGAGCCTGTGAATCAGTGAGCCCTGGGGGCGAGGCTTTGGAGAAGCATGAACTGCTCAAAGAGCAGCTGGAGAGGCAGTCAGCTGTCCAGAGAGAGAAGAGTGGCACACTGGCTGGGAGATGCTGGTGGCATAGCCAGGCAGCATTGGCCCCAAGCATGGGGAAGGGAAGCCAAGTGTCTGCCAGGGAAGCCCAGCAGAAGGAACAAGGAGCCAGGCTCTGGGATCAGAGGATTGCTGGGGAGCCCCAGTGGGAAGAAGCAATTCCCCACCATAAGTCTGAGCGAAGCCACAGCTGCAGGGGAGAGTTCAGGTATCGCGGCTGAGAGAGGCAACAAGGGATGACTAACCCCCTCGTGCAGCCCGGTGAAGAGGGAGGAGCAGGAGGTGGCTGCATTGGAGCCCTACAGGGAAGTGGCAAGTACCACCAGGTGGTGGGACCAGGAGTGATTAACTCCGAGTCAGCTGGGCCCCGGGAAGATCACATGGGGAGGCAGCCTGCCCCTGAGTCCGCTAGGAGGGGAGAGCCAGATGGGTTCCCTCCGTCATCCCAGGGGGACAGAAGGGTCCTGGGAGTCAGAATCCCAGGTTTCCATTGGCAGACACCGAACACCTTTTCAGTTAAAATTGTCCTAATTTACAGTCACCCCAGGCAGGTTTAGTTGTTCGAAAGCTGATCCAAAGACAAGGGATCAACTCAGGAGATTGATGGCCAGAAAGACCCGACCCAGCTCAAGGTGTGTAATGTGGATGAGATGAGATCTTCTTGGGGAAGACTACAGGAAGCAGTGTCTTCTCAGGCCATGGATGTGGTAAGGGTGGGGTAAAAGGAAGTTTTGGAGCCCCATGAAGAAAAAACCAGGGTCAGGACCCCTTTGGATCCACTGACAGGGAACTGCCTCCACATCAATTAACATCAAAGATGAGGCAGGCGAGTAGGAGCAGCACCTGAACCATCTAGTGGCCCCAGAGTGTGGGCTCACCCAGACACAGCTAGGGAACAAGGCACCGACCAGAAGGGGGCTGAAGCCTTACAACACCTACCAGCAACTTACCTTTACAGGAGGTACCTTGCTTGGTACAACCTTAGATCACACTAACTTTGTCCATGGCCATATCATGTTTGTAGATGAGAATGCACAGTTTTGTTTCTGTTTTTTAATGAAGTCTAGATTTGATCTACTTCTATTTCTACTTCCTATCAAAGGCAGCTAGACATTTATTTTGATAAAAACTTACCTTTCATAAATCGTGTTGCATCTTATCCTATTTGCCTTTTATCTTCATATCGTTTATGATTCTGGCCTTCAAAATTTGTTCTAAAGCCTTGCATACTATTGAGGTCAGATTACTAAGCCTGAAGTTGCTCAGATAATTTTTTTCTCTTTCTTAAATATAGCAATATATACTAAATATATTTATTTTTCAAGCATACAGTACCAATGATGACTTGTTACATTTTCTTAGAGATCATTGCGATTGGATTTGTAATTTCATATGGCAATTCTTTCAGAAGTTTGGGATGAAGATTTTCCAGTCCCCCAATTCATACTAGAACAAGAGGGTCAAAGAATGCTTCCTTGCTCCTGAAAATAACTTTGGGTGGGGGTTTTAGTATCTATTTAGCACGCGCGCGTGTGTGTGTGTGTGTGTGTGTGTGTGTAGTATAATATGCCTGTAGTCTATTAACCTTATACATTCAATTTTGGCCTACATTTTTAGAAATGCATAACTGATAAACTATCTATATAAGGACTGAAATTATATGTGCTTTTGTCTTAACTGCAAGCACAAAATTTAACTGGCTGTGTGTATATGCAATAATGTAAATAACTGTCAAAAAATTAACCAACATCTGGTACATTCTCACATTCTCTTTTACAAGTAATGATTATGTAATGAAACTGGGATTCAGGATTCATGAATTTGCTTTGTCACGCTACCACTGATTTGATGCTTATTGTTATGCAAGATCCTTATCGTATATTTTGATTCTCTCTCTTTATTAATACCCCCAGGTTGTTGATACGGCTTGCCTTATCAAGTTGTAAGTTTTACAGAATTGTACAAGGTGTTTGAGAGCTCTAGAGAAAAGTGCTTGGTATTCTGCATATTTAGTAGGAATGATGATTGATTAACCCTGATGTACTTTATTCACTTTCAGCAATCCCCAGTCTTTAAATTCTGATAAATGATCCTGTTTATGACAAGAATTTGCTGTCTCCTATGGGGCCCTGGCCAAATACAATGCTAGTTCACCCTTTGCTTATGCAATTGGTAAAGTTTACTTTCAAAAGGTTAGAGCCACCAATGGAAATAAAGGAAGATGAGTCAATACGTATTAATTTTGTCCTCTCACCTTCTTCAGCAGCAATGATGATTAGAGTTGTTTTAGACATAGTACAGTGTAGTTTGTAGTAAAGATGAAGACTTTAATTCTACTGTAAACTTGCAGGCCTGTTCTGCAGTTGAACCAACATAAGGTACTTTGATAGGAGTAAAATGAAAAAACAACTTGGGACCAGCCCAATAAGTTAAAATGACTTAATCACAACTAATAAGGAAGGGAAGTATCTGAAGTACAATTGTTCCTCACACTACATTAAAAAAATATTGAGTATTTGTGAGCATGTCTACACATTCATTAATGTGCAGTGGATACTGCATATTTACTGTAGTACTTGTATAATCAAGTACTAAATAAATGCTCAGTAACTGCAGTTACTGTGAAGTAGGACCAGCACATGCCTTTTTAGTGACAGTACTGTGCAGTAGTCTAATAATACTGTGCAGTAGTATATTAGCACTGTTTCTGCTGTGACACAGTGCACAGTATTATTAAGCTACAGCACATGTAGATGCACTGTGTATAATTTAGATTTTGTTTTTTACTACTTGTATCATCTTGCAAGATATACCTCTGAAGCCATCAATAGATAATTTTTAGCTTCACAATATGATTATGGGAAGCTAGATATAACACATTTCCAGACTATCAAGTAGACTGCTCTGTGTATGTCCTTTCACCGAATTGGATGAAATAAGTTAAGGTTTACAAGAGAACAGGATCATAGGAAAGCAGCACTGGAAGGGACCTCACAGTTTCACCCACCTGCTCAAGTCAGGATGGTCCCTGACTAAACCATGTCAGTCAAGTGTCTGTTCAAACTGTTACTGAAAATTTCCAAGATGGAAATACTAATTTGTCTTGATAGCCTGTTCCAATGCTGTTTCAATGCTTTACCACCCTCAGATTCAGAAAGTTCCTCCCAATCTCCAGTTTAAATTTCCCCTACTGAAGCTACAGGCCATTGCTCCTAGGTCTATCCCCTGTGGTCACAGAGAAAAGCCTCCATCCTCTCTGTAACCACCCTTCAGGTATTTGAAGACTCTTAACAAATTCCCCCTCAGTCTCCTCTTCTCCAGTCTAAATAACCTTAGTTCTTTCCGTGTTCAAAAGTCTTGCTTCCCTGCCCCCTAATCATTTGTGTTACTCTGTTGGACTCTTTCCAATCTGTCTACATCTTTTTTGCATTGTGGGGCCCACAAAACTGGACACAGTACTTCAGGTGAGGCCTCACCAGCACTGAATAGAGTAGAAGAATCATTTCCCTTTAATTGCAAGTGACCCTCCTGCTAATACAACCCCGTATTCTGTTGGAGGTTGCTTGTTTTTTTTGCAATGAAAGCACACTGTTGACTCATATTCAGTTTATCATTTGCTGTAATCCTCAGGTCCTTCTCTGCAATATCACAGCCTCACTAGTCATTCCCTAGTCTGTATCTTTGCGTGTAATTATTTTTGTGCTTTGTACTTGCCAATCTCATCTGATTGACTGAGGACCATTTTCCAGTCTATTCATATCATTCTATAGCCTATCCTTAGCCTCCAGAGTATCTGCAACTTTACCTACCTTGGTGTCACCTGAAAATTTGTAAACTTGCACTAATCCCATATTCAAATCATTAATGAAGATGTTAATACCAGATAAGACTAAGAACAGACTAACCCTATCCAACATGTCCTCCCAACAAGACATTAAGCCATTGAGGGCTACTTATTGATCACAGGGTGATATTTTATTTCATATCAGTAGCTCATTTTTGGTGCCATTTATTATAGAAAACCAGTCCTTAAAACATACACTTTATTGAGTTTTCTTCATTCCAACTAGCTAATAGTAAAGTTCACATTAGATCAATTTGGCATAAATCCACTATATCTTTTTTCTTTCAAAGAGTTTGGAAAAATATACCATCATTTCCAATTATTTTGAAGTATAAAATATGTCCTATTAAAATATGTGGAATAAAGATGGAAACTTTGCAAATTTATTTGCAAGGAGCTAAAGTCCATAAAAAGTTTTAGTACAGACCATTTTAATTCAATCACAAGAATAAGTTAATGGAGTATGATTTTGTATGAATAAGAATTGCAGAACCAGTATTCAGTATTTCTAGCTGTTTTATGCAATAGCACATTTTTTTCCTGGTGTTACCAATATCAGCTAACAGAGTGAACCAATACATGTTGCCCTAAGAAGGACAATGTTTGCAACTGAAAATTTCACTCAAAACAAAAGGCTGGAACAGGTGTGTTAGCTACCAGGTCTCAAGATGTTGAATTTCGCTTCCTTCTTGTAAAATTATGGTGTTTTCATTTCAAAATGACTAATTATGAAGATATCTTCCATGTTTCAGGGATAAAAGTTGTAGCCCTGTTGGTCTAAAAGTACAAGCAGTCAATGTGCTAGAGGCAAAATCTTTTATTAGACTACCTAGACAGTTGCAAAAAAAAATTACAATCTTTGCATTCTCCTATGCCTGCTTATCTTGCATTCTCCTATGAGCACACTGACTGCTATTCATTTTAAACACTCATAAAGAAAGTATTGCACTTAAGAAACCAAATTTCTAAACCTAGTGCTTTAACGATTGACACAACACTCAGCTGATTAATAGCAGAAAGGCTTGCTACCAACAAGGTATAAAACTAAATGACAGAAAAAGAGAAGACTTTTTCTTAATACTCAATAAATGAGCTCTTACTGTCTTTGTATTATTTTAGCTGCAAGAGATTTTTACCCGAGCAGCAGGAAACCACTCTTATCTTTACAGCTTTCACAGAACATGGGTCCTTCACTCATGGACTGGGTGCAGGATGGCTTTTTGATCTTCCCAGGACTGCACACTTGCTGGCAGTTCTGTCTTGCTTTTTATACTGTTTTATTTGTATAGTGTCAAAGCATTTATTTTTTATAGTTGGTTAATCAAAGTCCAAACAAAGTAGGCAAGGTTAGAATTAACATATTACCATTGTATCTCATTAGTGTGTTTGTGAAGTTTGCAAGCTTTTGATCAGTTTGGAATCAAACGGGATGGGTATTGACTGAATGAGGTACCTTTAGGAAGTTGATCACAGAATATTCTCTTTCAGGAGTTATTTTAACAATGGGGCTTAATAAATAGCTGCATCAAATGGCTTATGGAGATAGGGAAGATCAGAGGCCATTGGATACAATAGATATGAGTTGCAGGAGAATACACTGGTTTACTATAATAATTATTTAGAGATGAACTGCCTATTTTGAGAACTATGCCTTAACTAACAAATATGAATGTGAGGAAGTGAGGATCAGAGAGGACTGGTGACAATA